ATTCATTAAGTTTATTGGTACATTTTACATATACATTATGATCACATTCAACATTGGGAATTTGTAAAAAAAACCCACATCGAAGGGCTAAAGGTATAGGGAAGGTGGGATGGGTAGGGGAAGGGTAATAAGGGAAAAGAAAAAAATGTAAGAAAATGAAAAGATGGAAATAAAGTGTTTGTAAATGGGGAGGGGAGGAGGGGTGTGAAGGGAGGGCAGGGACAAGGGAAAAAATGAGAACCAAGACCTATCATGTAGAGGTACAAGATCCCAATAATGAATGTAATTGTACTGTATCCCTAAAATGTACCAATAAACTCAATTAAAAAAACCCCCACACCTTCTTTATCTAGTCATCAGGGGAATAGCTGTGTCAAATGGGACCTCTAATTCTAGTTCTTTGAGGAATCTCCACACTGTTTTCCACAATGGTCACATCAGTATACACTCCCAACACTTCCCCAACAGTGGAGAAGGGTTCTTTCTTACTGCAAAACCCTGCCAGTATTTGTTATTGGTTGATTTCTTGAAAGCAGCTGTTCTTTCTGGAGTGAGGTGGAATCTTAGTATTGTTTTCACTTGCATCTCTTGAATGACCAGTGATGCTAAACATTATTTCATATGTTTATTTGCTATTTCCACTTCTTTGTCTGAGAAATGTCTGTTCATTTCAGATGCCCATTTTTGGATTGGGTCTTTAAATTTGGGTGATCTGATTTTTTAATTTAAGCTCTTTATATATTCTAGATAGTAGACCTTTGTATGAGGAATAGCTGGTAAAAACTTTTTGTCCACATGTGAGTTGTCTCTTCACTCTGTTGGTGGTTTCTCATACTGTGCAGAAGCTTTTTAATAAAGTGAGATCCCAGTTATTGATTCATTGTGCTAGTTCACGTGCAATGGAGGTTTTGTTCATAAAATCTTTTCCTATGCCAATGTCTTCAAGAGTTCTACCTACCTATCTTCTAGCAGGTTTAGTATTTCTGTTTTAATGTTTAGATCTTTGATCCATTTTGATTTTAGTTTAGTGCATGGTGAGAGATATGGGCCTACTTTTAATCTTTGGCAAGTTGAAACTCAGTTTTTCCAGCACCATTTATTGAAGAGGCAATCTTTCCTCCAGTGAGAGTATTTGGCTCCTTTGTTTAAAAAAAAAATATATATATATTTATGGTTTCTGAAGTTTCAGTTATCTACTGGGAATGTTGGAATATATTTCCTGCAGATGAAAAGGAACCCTTAGATATTTGAAATCTGAACTGTTCATGACCTCATTGCTACCATTTTTCCTCTGGTTTCTTTTCCTTTTTTACTTTCTTTAAACATCCTCTTGCCTATTCTTTTGATTCTTTCTTAAAGTAAGCATTCTAATCCTTTAAAGAGAACTCATATCATCTAAATCACGTTTTCAATATAGTGTGATGGTTAGTTTTATCAACTTGACTAGTCTATAGGATACCCAGATAGCTTGAAAAACATTATTTCTTGATGTTTCCATGGAAGTATTTGTAGAAGAGATTAGCATTTGGATTGGTGGACCGAGTTGAGCAGGTGCCTGTTCTCCCAAGTGTGAGTAGAAGTCATCTAATCTGTCGATGGCCTGAAAAGCACAAAAGATAGAGGAAGGTAGAGTTGATACTGTGACTGAATGCTGAGCTGGTGGGTCAGTCTGGATCTGCCTTCAGCTCTCCTGATTCTCAGGCCCTCCAACTTGGATTGGAATCTTCACCTTTAGATCTTGGGTCTTTGAATTGCACTGGCTTTCCTGAGTCTCCAGCTTGCACAGGACAGCTTGTGGGAATTCTTGGCCTTTGTAATGATGTGAGCTAATTCCTTTGTACAGCTCTTTCTTTATATATCTCTCTATATATCCTATTGGTTCTGTTTTTCTGGAGATCCTTTGCTAATACATATGGATTCTCATCTTTTGTGGATCCAACTTGTCACCATGACTTGTCAGTGATCACAACCTGAACCTCTGGAACTTTTCTGACACTATCTGCCAGACTCTCATCTTTCTCTACTCTGCTGGTGCCACTCTAGGCTCTGTTTTATTTATTTACTATGTCAGATATGCCTTTATACATGCACATTGGTTATCTCTTCCAGTCTACGCCATCTTTAGAGGCTGATATGCCTTTCTCCTTCACTTTTTTCAAGTGTTCCATCAAATATATTTTCTATTCTTGTAATTTATTTCATTCATTTGTTTTAAGTTTTGCTTTTGATAGACAAATAATTTTATTTATTTATTATGTAATTTAATATAGACCTTATGGAAAACAGTATGGAGGTTTCTCAGAAAACTGAGAGTTACTAGAAAAATAGAGTTACCACATGATCATATACCACTACTGGCTATAATATACCTCCAAATTGAACTGAAATTGGTATGTTGGAGAGACAGCTACACTTCCATGTTTACTGTTGCATAATTCATGTAGCTAAAAATGGGATCAGTTTAAACATGGGATCACTGATAGATGAATGGAAAAATGTGGTGCATCATATACAATGGAAATGTGATCAAAGGCAAGCACCTGCTGTCCTTCATGTTGCCCTGTACAGATGAGAACAGATAATTACTTTGAGATCTCTTTGCACATGTCTTCCATGATCCCTCCAGAACCAGGCTGTAGGGTTCCACACTGTCAAAACTGCCTTTAAATTGGGCATGGTGGCACACATGGATTACTCCTGTAATACCAGCAGTACTTGAGAGGCTGAGGCAGGAGGATTATTGTGAGTTCGAGACCAGCGTGGGTCACATAGTGAGTTCCAGGTCAGTCTCAACTACATAGTGAGACCCTGTCTCAAAAACAAAACAAAACAAAACAAAAACCCCACCACCAACAACAAAAAACTGCCTTTAAACCCAGGAGAGGGGTGTGGCAGTGGCAAGTAAAAATGCCAGAGAGCTTTCTTTCTGCTTGTCAGTTGTCTTTTTTCTTGATTCAGCATCAACTTCATTGATATAAATCTCTATTTTGCAGAGTTCTTATGAAAGTCAATTGTGACAATTACTGCTAGATTTTTCAATGTTTTAACTGGTAGCTGTATTGTAGCTACCTCCTAGTTTACTTTTACCAACTCCACTTCTCTCTCTCTTTCAGTATATTTAATTTTGAGACAAGTCTCACAAAATTGAGTTGCCTGGGTTTGGCTTGAACTGACTCAGCTTCCCAGATTACTGGATTAAAGGCATGCACCACCGTACCAAGTTCCTCTCATATTTCTTATTACTGAATTTTAAAATTTATTTGATATCTGTTTCTCCCCAGTATAATGTATGTGTTAGGTATTAAGTAATGTACACATCTATTGCATAACCAATATCCGTGTATGTTCATTCACCTTGTGAACATAATTAGCTAATATAGATGGCTTAATATTTTTAAAATTGTCAGTGAACTATTGATCACATACAAGTAATTAAAAATAGATTCTTATTAAATCTCATCCATCAATTTTTCAAGTGTCTTAATTTTATATTTTGAAGGACCCATTCTGAAATTAACCATTTTAACTTGGTAACTAATGGTGACATGTTAGTATTCAAATTGACCCAGAATCTTTGGAAGCAAAGTAATGAAGAATTTTAGGATCTTAAAACTTCTATTATATAATCAGCTTAAAATTTTATAGATAGTTTGTGAAAATTTGGTATTTATGATTATAAAAATCAAATGTGCTTATTCAAATCCATATGCTTTGTTGATGTTAAGGACCTTAGCACATGCGCTGTTGTAAGTTTGTTAATCATTACTTTGAGAAATGAGATTTCTATCTACGTGTGACAGGGCAAACTCAGGACAGCAGGTTAATGGGCACAGAAAGCCCAAGTTGATGGCTAGACACAGTCTGGTTGTGAAAGCTTTGGTTATTTCTCCTGTGCTCATGATTTAATTTTTTTATAACAAAACTTTCTTCTTTGGCTTCTATATGAAGTTTTATTTATATTTTATTAGATTTTATGATTTGAATATTTAAATTGAACATCAAAATAGAAATTGCATCTTCAGTGCACCATGACAACCTGACTTTTGCAGGAGGTTACATTTCCCTGGGTGTGCTGTTCTGAGTGCTTGTCAACATAAGTGAGTTCATCTTTGTCAGGTGCCATCAAGCACAAACTGAGGACAGCATGCTGGAAAGATTGTTTGGAGGTTCTAAACAGAGCATCTCTCTACCTGGTAAAGATATGGAGGTGAGGGTGAGACAGCAGTTTTGCAAAGATGCACATGAAAATAGCAAAGACAGAGGAATCAGGGTCTGCCAGTTTACCTGGATTTCAGCCCAAGCAGAGAGCTAACTCTGCCATCACTACACCTTCTTCATTAAAAGAGGTTTCAGAAAATGCACTGAGGTAGAGCATGGTTTGCTAGTTGTGGCAGAACTGTAGTTTTTATGTGCATAAATCAGAAAAAAATTAAAAATCACTGAGGATTGTCTCAGCTTATCTGCCTATACAGATATGGATAGTTAAGTAACTATGACAACAGTGGCCATCGTATAGTAAACATTCATTTTGGTAAGTGTTCATTTTGTAAGTGTTCATTTTGGTTATATCCAGGACAAATTATTTTTGATACTGTCTCCTTATTAATTTATGCCATTTCATAGAGGTGCTTAGCACATTTTTATCATCAACATCAGAGCAGGTTTTAAAATTGATTTTTTTTTTGTTGGATTTTCAGATGTATTGCTTCATGATAGACATTTGACTGTAAAAGGCCTTATTTCTGACTGGGTTCAATGAATTCCTAATTTGCTCATTATTTTGGAAGGCTCAAAGACTACAGGGTGTTCAGAGAGACACTTTAAATCTTTGATTGGCTATTTAGTAAGTCTGTTGATAAAAAGGAGAACAAGAGAATTCCAGATCACAGCTTCCCTCAGAGTAAAAAAAACAACTGTTTTGAATAAACATTTTAAAGAGAGACAGTTAATTTGCTTTAGCCAGGAAATTATTTTAATGCTGATATTTCTTTTTTCCTCTATTCTTCCACTTGTGTGACTGCAACTTGCAATTGTGTTCTTCTCACCTTATCAGATTGATTTTTTCTTTAGGCAATTTCAACCATGTGCTACCATGTTCTGATTAAAATTTTAATTTCTTTCTGATATTCCTCTAGATCACTGCATGAAATTTGGACCCTGACATTCTGCACAGTTTGTCTAAATATATTTTTCTCTCTCAGAAAGAATTATTGTCTATTTATATTTTATATTGATTTTAAAGTTAGGTAATGATTATGGAGTTTATACAGGCGATTGCAAAATGACTGAGGCAGTGTGATTTGACTTACTTGGTATTACCTTGAAGATAAATCTATTTACTAATCTTTGCTTCTATACATATTTGATGGTGATGGTGTTTGGAGGTCACATGAGTAGTGTATAATTTATTAGAGGAACATTTTAACATCACATGCTCTTTACTTTTGCTTTATGGATGTGGATGTGAGTCTTGTTTTCGACTTTTCTAAAAATTCTGTGTCTGATAAAGCCACTATTATCACTGGAAGCAGATGTTGTATGACTTATACAAGTACAATAACCTGGAGCTTGTCACTCTGACTCCACAGTAAATGCCCCTTTCCTACCTTATAGCTGCATTCTTGTAAATTATTCAGGTTTCTATGGACTGTATTTTGTTGTCACTAAATCCCCTAGGATATAAAGCCAAAACAGCCTAGAATCACAAAGAGAGTAGCCAAGGCTTATTGAACATTTAACAAATATTCTTATAAATGTTCTGCATAAATTAAATCTTTTGTATAGTTCCTTGTAGTACTATTATTATTATTCCCTGAGGAAAATAAAGCACTCTATGTTAGGTGACACAAAGCTAGTTTGGAGAGGAAGCCAGGCATTAAACTCACACAGGTTGAGCTCGGGATTTTTTTTCTCTTCATCTCTGCCTTGAGAATAGTTTCTGCCCAGGACAAGGGCAGCTTCTGGGTCTTAGCAACTGTGGCTGGAGAGGGAGGGCAGCGAAAGGCTATTTAAGAAGCAAGAGTGAAAATTAACACTTAGTCTGCCTGCGCACCACCAGCCCCAGCGAGGAAGGCCACCCTGAGATCTCCTCTCCCGCTGGCCTGCTTGGTCCCATTCTGCAGGACCAGGTAGCCATGCCCTCCCCTGCCTGCTCTGCCACCAGCTCCAGCAAGGAAGGTAGCTGCACAGACACCCTTGAAATACCTCCACAACCCCCACCCCCACTCTCAGACCTCTCAATTGGGCCAGTCCTTGGACCCACTCTGCAGAGACAGAGGTAGTCATAAAGGGTATTTATCTGAGCTCCCAAGTTTGAACATCTTTAAAGAAACCTCTAATAGAACTGTGTGGAGTTCAACTCTGTAGGTTGGGGAACTCAATTTGGGCCTTGTGGCCTGAGATCAGTCTGAGTCACAGGCATCTGCCATTGGCTAGCTGAGAACAGGGGACTTGGTTCTGCACACGGCTGTGCACATGGAATATTATGACAGCAGAGACATAGTCTTAAAGAGGCCCTTCAAAATTTTTTTTCTTTCTTTTCCTCATTCCACTCAGAAAATTCTTTCTTTTTTTCTGTCCTCTTTCTCCAACTCAGTCTCTTGGTCCACCATATTATCCCTCATCTCCCTTTCTGTTCCTGCTCCTGTCCTAACTCAGACTTCTTCTTTTATCACCTTTTTTAAAATGTTCTTTTCTTCTGTCATTTTACCTCACTCATGGGTCAGTAGTTTCAAGGGAATGTGAGGCCCTGTTACTGTTAAGGAGATATATTCTTGTACTTATTCTTGCACTCTGTCTATCCCTTTTGAATTTAATAGTTTCATAAATATTGTATGGTCATTCTATGTCTTCTGGTTTCACTTGAAACGTTATCCAATTCTTTCACTTATCTACTCCTCTCTTCCTAACTCTGTGTTAACTCCCCCATCCTAAATGATAAAGATGCTATACTGAAAGTGTACTCACTGCAAACATATTTTGGGCTGCTTCTTGATTTTAATTTAATTCACATGGTTTAAAGGTGATAGATTAATGACTACCACGAGTGGTCAATTTGCAAGTTGTGCTTGATTGTATTGTGCTGCTGATTGTATCAATTTGGATAAAGGATTGTGATTAATTTAATGAGTTGTTTTCTCTGATATGAAAATGAGAATGTCTATGAGTCATTAGAGACTAAAAAACTAAAGCAAAACTATATCAGGAAGATTTAAGTAATAACCTAGAAAGTAAACCAAGGACAACTGAACAACAAAAATAAAAATGAGAAAACACTTAAGCAAGAGACAAAGACAGACTTCCAGTTCACCAATGGCAAACAGTAGGGCAAATGAAGATGAAAAGTCAAATAGTGTACCAGCAGGACACCCTGAAACCATAGCACAGGAAATAACAAAACAGATTAATCAGGCTCTAGAAAAATTCAAAACAGAAATAATTTCCCAGATAACCATAGAGATGGTGAGCAAAATGAAGTCATGATTTGAAACTCTAGAACAGAAACTGACAAAAAAATAGATGAGCTCAGGACCATGATAGAAGCCATGAAGGTCCAGCATAAGAAAGAAATGGAAACAATGAATGCCCAACAGAGGAAAGAAATGGAATCCATAAAAAACAGATTCAAACAGATATCCAGGGGATTAAAAACTATTGAAAGTGCACACAACAGAATAAAAGATTGTGAAGATAGAATGTCAGATGTAGACGATAGGATTGCAGTCAGTGACTGTGAAAAGAGAGGTCTCTTAAAAACAGTAAGGGATCATGAGAAATTGATCCAACAGCTCCTAGATGATGCAAAGAAGAATAACATAAGACTGATAGGAATCCATGAAGTAGCAGGAGAAAATACAAATGACTTAAAAAAAAGCTGCTCACAGAATTAATGACAGAAAACTTCCCAAATAGAAGGAAAGTATTAGAAATACAGATAAGTGAGGCATATAGGACTCCAACTAGCCATGGTAAAAAAAATCTACACCTAGACATATAATAATTAAGATCCCATAAACCTAAGAGAAGAACAAAATACTACAAGCAGTAAGAAACAAGAAACAAATCACATGCAAGGGAAAACCTATCAGAATCACAGCAGAATTTTCAACACAAGCACTTAGGTCAAGGAGAGCCTGAAGTGAGGAATTTCAAGTCCTAAAAGAAAACAACCTCCAACCTAGACTGATGTATCCTGCAAAGCTCTCTTTCAAAATGGATGGGGAAGTAAGATACCTGCATGACAAAGAACACCTGAGAAACTTGATGAACACCAAACCAGCACTACAAGCAATTCTAAACAATATCCTAGAAAAAGACAATGAAGGTAACAACACCATGAGGCCCAACAGAGCAAATCAAGTAGTCAAGGCAAGAAACTAAAAAGGCGGGAGAGTAAAAATAGTCAACAAAGGGACAATATTATGACAATAATAAGTCAGTACATATCACTTATAACCATCAATGTCGATGGCCTCAATTCACCAATCAAGAGAAATAGACTGGAAGAGTGGATCAAGAAGCAAAATCCAAAAATATGTTGTATACATGAAACACACCTAATGCAAAAAGAAGCCCATAGACTGAAAGTGAAAGGATGGAAAACAATTCTCCATGTGACAGGAACCCAGAAAAAAGCAGAGGTAGCAATCTTATTCACAGACAAAAGTAATTTCAAACCAAAACTCATTAAGAGAGACAAACAAGGCCACTACATCCTTGTAAAGGGAAAAATTCAAGATGAAGAAATGACAATCATAAACACATATGCACCAAATATAAATGCCCCAAACTACATAAAACAAATATTAAGCAACAAGTAAAACTAAATAAGCACTAATACAGTTGTAGTGGTAGACTTAAATACCCCACTATCACAAATAGACAGATCATCTAGGCAGAAAATCAACAATGAAATACTAGAACTGAACCATGCTTTTGAATGCATGGACTTAATAGATTTTTATAGAGTGTTCCACCCCACAAAATCAGAATATACATTCTTTTTGCTGCACATAGGTCATTCTCAAAGATAGACCACATAATAGCTCACAGAACAGGTATTAATAAATGCAAAATAATCAAAGCTATCTCCTGTATATTATCAGATCATAGTTCAATCAAGCTGGAGTTCAATAGCACAAGAAACCATAGGAACTACACAAATACATGGAAATTGAACAACACTCTCCTGAATAATCAATGGATCACAGAGGAAATTAAAGAAATTAGACAGTTTTTACAAATAAATGAAAATACCAATACAACATACAGGAATCTATGCTACACAATGAAAGCAGTTCTATGTGGAAAATTCATAGCACTGAATGCCCACACTAGGAAAACAGAGTGAGCTTAAATAAACAACCTAATGATGAATCTTAGACTCCTAGAAAAATAAGAGCAAGAAAAACCCAAAGCTTGAAACTGAGCGGAAATTATAAAGATTAGA